AAACAGCTATTTGTGCAGGCACAGTTCAACAAACAGGAACTGCCTCCCAATTCCCAGGTACAAATACTGATCGATTCAACATTCATTACCCAGAATATGTTTGAAAATAGCTCATCTCGGAACCAGATGGAAACTCAAAACCGCACGGACAATGGGGCATCATGGAACGCGAGCAAAATACAAGAAGCGAGATAACCAAATGCATGCACACTAGCACACACACCAAATGCAAGCAGGGTCGCGAACTTGGTAAACATGCTTGCTCCGAAAGCAGCAAGTCAATGTGCCTTCGACCTTCAAGCCAGTTGACAGATGCCCACAGAAACTAGATAATAGACGAAAGTTGTCAAATTAAGCAAGTAATTCCTACAAGTGCACTTCACAGCCGAGTGGCGCATGCTACAGAGAGTCAATCTCCGTGTGGAACATACAGAATAGAAGCGCCTACAGCCAACAATGCAGTTCTTCATTTCAGTGACCAGAATGTAACCTGCGGGGCAAGCAATATCACGAGTCAAATAATTTTGCACCATTCATATCCAGGAAAAGCCATTGGAGTTGTTCTCATAAATTTGTATGACTCTAAACAGTAAACATTAGCTTCACCATTGTGGAACTGTGCCAAAAGCTCCAAAGGCAAATCATCTCAGCAATATTATTATTTATCAGACAAAACCAACACTTGAAACAGAGAATAACTGTAGGAAATTTGCAGTGTGGTGGCACACATTCAGCATCAGTAAAAGTAAAACAAAATTATATCCCCAGAGCACAGTGAAATGCAAGTAGTTCATTTGCTACTACTCCCTCCGTCCTGAATTACTTGTCGCAGTGGATGTATCTAGAACTAAAAAATGTCTAGATACATCCATTTCTACGACAAGTAATTCCGAACGGAGGGAGTACTTATCATAATAACGTTCTCATCTCTGAGAAGGGAACAAGCATATGCATAAGTAGGGAATGGGGAAGGGTCCTAGTTTATCAGTCATTGAAGGGCTAGAGGGAGAAGAACCCGAGACTACCAGAAGGTACTGGGGGAGTACCTACAAGGAGGTGAACTGAAAGCAAGGCTGCTGGACGCAACGGGAAGGCCAGTCAAAGTGCACATCCAGTGAAGAGGGGTAAAATGTCAGTAAATAAAAGAGAAGGCAGATGGGTGAAGGCAAGTGGAAGAGAACAGAGAGCTGCTGAGGAAACAGGGTTTGGAGAAAAGATTCAAGATGCAGCCCAAAGCATAGGATGTGACCAGATGGGCAGGACCTACGCTAAGTAAACAATTATAGAGAAAATATGTCCTCTCTTGCAATTTGATACTTGAAATGACAGTACAAAGCAAATCAATACATTTTTTGAAGGAACAGTTCTGATTCCTCAACAAGCCAACATACATGCAGAAGATAGCCTTACCTACTCTGCCAGTACATGACAACAGCATATTTAACCAGACAATCATCTTATTTATTGTGCATAAGATCAGATGCACCATGTCTACCACCAATGCCTGTTACTGCAAGCATAAGAAGTTAAACAACCAATGTCATTCCAACAAAAAGCCAAACAGATATGAGGAGACATCAAGGAGATATTTACATAACTCATAGTTGTATCTTGAAAAAGAAGCAGAGTCTTGATAGAGCATTAGGAGAAGTGATGTGACTATTCAGATTTAGATTATCCACAAAGAGGTTAAGCCTAAAATATGAAATTAAATATCTTATTATTTTTCTCATACGAATGAATTCATCCCTTGCAACAGACTCTCCTAAAGTGCTAGAGTGAACAATTATTTGAATTTTCCATTATTGATTTAAGAATATTGCAAGATAGCAGAGATAATAATATTGATTGAAAGAAATAGACTAAGCTTGAAGCTTCTAAATGTACCTATTGAGCTGCCTATTTGACATTTCAGTAGGTTCAAGCTAGTTTTTCATTTTTGTCCTCAACTTCCAGTTGATAGGTATTTTATCATGAGAAAAACTTTAAAGCAGTTATGAACTAAAAGTAGCCTTATATAATTCTTGCATGTGTCATTAGGCGGGCAACAGTGAAATATAGTTCAGTGAATTTGCCAATCTTGGAGTTCTTTTCTCTATAGATATTTTATATAGTGAACTGATAAAAAAAACAGATTGCTACTTCTAACGGGAACCACATTATAATGAAACATCGCCACATTTTATTTTACTGCATCATCTATGACAGCCCATCATCATCTTGGTATGGAAGCCAAATTGGTGACATAAAAAACATAGCAAACACTAGCTACAATAACTATAAGTAATACATGTGAATCCATATATAACCATCACATAAAAAGCACCCAAACAAGCATCATTACAGAAACAAAATCACTATACGCTGAAGAGGTCACGGATCAGCAAAATAAGAATAAATGATATGACACTACTTAAAATTGTTGGCTTAACACAAAATGATGTGAACATGATTTCATCAGCCAATTATCAACACATAACTTGGTTTTGTTCTGACCGCAATGAAGGGCATGGTATTATATACCTTCAGTGTAGACACTTTCGAATGGATGATAGTGAGAAATTTGCATAGTTTTGAAAAGCTTCTTGAACTTTAATGACTCGAGATGGATTGTGAAGAGGCCAACAACCGTCCACAGCAACAACACATTGTTGTTTTCAGCAAACCCTAGCATCACTATGCGCTCTTCCTCCTCTGGATTCAGGGAAAGTAGCTTGTTAAGTTGAATAGTTCTTGCAAGCGCCCATGAAGCAATACCATCACAGTCAGTCAACCTCTTCCATAATTGGGAGGTGCAGCGGTCAGAGTCGGAAATTAAGAGGAAACCCAGCCCACCGGCCTCTGCCCGCATAAGCTTGAAGTTGTGCCTGCCACGCACATCTGGCACCTGTATCACAGCTAGACTCTGCTTCTCCAAATCAAACTCGAGAATTCCATCCAGATTACCAGCAAGCGCCCAGTAAAGGGAATCTCCAGCCAGCAAAGCATCACCGGTAATGATGGTGAAAAACTGGGATCCATGAGCCTGGTCCGGAATGGGTGTGGAGATGAGATTCCCCCATAAGCCGGTCTTTGACGAGTAAACAACGGCGAGCGCTCGTCTATGTTTCGGGCCGTCGCCGTCTGTCACTGCCAAGACCACCTGGAACTGCTGGACGTCTCCGGCGGCGCGATACACCGCCCCGCTGATCCCAATCTTCTCCGCGCGTGCCGCGACCACCGGGGGAATGGTCAGGCGGTGCTGGTCGCCCGTGACGGGATCCCACACAAGGATCTAGAGACGCTCCGGAAGGAAGATGAGTAGGAGGCCATGGCGGCATCCGAGGGAGACGAAGTAGTCGCCGTCGTCGCGCTGCAAGGGGAAGCGCCCAAGAGGAACACGGTCAGGGGCGTCCAGGGTAGGATGGAAGAAGAGGCCATCAAATCGGTCGAAGAAGCCGAGGAGAGGAGGGTTGCGGCGGTGGCGGAGGCGGAAGCGGCGTCGGAATTGGGGATCTGAGACGAGGCGGCGCCAGCTCTTGCAGACGAGGGATGCGCGGGGGAGGGAGGAAGGCTGCGGGGGGAGGCGGAGCAGGATCTCGGAGAGCAGGTCGTCGTCCTCCAGCGGGGATGCCGCCGGCGAGTGGGGGCGGCGGCGGAGGCGGAGGCTGCTCATCTCGCCCTCCTCGCTCACTGATGCGGATGGCTTTTTTCTCCTTCTGGAAGATGGTGCGGATTCAACGAGTGCGGATGAAAGCGTGGTGAGACTCCAAAACTGGGATGCACACTGAAGTCTCACCACGCAAAAAATCCCAGTTTTGCGGTGTGTGAAAAAATATAAATGGGATGGAAATTTGAAGTGCAGGAAATTTCCATCACATTTATTTGTTACGTTGAAAACATCCTATAATATATAGCTTACAGTGTACTCCCTCCGTCCGAAAAAGGTTATTCCTTAAATGGATGTATTTAGCACTAAGTTACCAAGTTAGTATCAAATATATCCATTTGAAAGAGAAGGTTGGGACAAGTTTTTTCGGACGGAGGGAGTACAATTTTTATTTCATACAAGTAAAATAATGCACCGTCATACTTTTATTTCTTTATGTTTTCTACGGTGATAGCATTGCAAGATTACAAAACACAAGTCTTCCAGTAAATATTTTTTTTTCTCGGCTAGCACAGAGCCAACTGGTATCACAGCTTGTGTAGATAAAGCTGGAGGATGATCTCAAATTTGAAGAATCCACTTCCTTTACAAAACAGGTCTGGGGACTTTTTTGGACCACCGAATTGGCATGTTAAGCAACCGGCAAATGTTGAACTCATCAACTCACAGAATGCATGGCCATCAAGCAAGTAATCAGGCACAACTATTTGGCTGAAGCAAAGTCAGTCTATCTTATCATGCCCATAGATAAGATAAGAGAGGGAAGTTAGCATGAGAAACATTTCAGTTTGTTAGGCCACTACTCAATTTTGAAGAAACATATACATGTGAGCTTTAAGAGCAACTCCAATGGGGCGACCCATTTCGTCCGTTGTTGTCTGTTTGGATCAGCGCGGACAGAAAAGGCGGCCCAACGCGCCGACCCAAACGGACGCGCGTCCGCTTTTCGTCCGCATGTGACCCATTCCCGGCTCATTTTTGAGCCGGATTTGCGTCGGCGCGGACGCGCGCACGCTCGCCCTCTCCTCCTCCGGGCCCGCTGGTCTGTGTCACATTGCCCATACAACAGCAACCCTCGCCCAACTCCTCCGTCGCCGACGCCTGTCCTATTTTTGCCGGCGACTCTGCCAGCTGTCGGGGCATCCACATCCGCCCAGCTACGCCGCCCACTCCCACGTCGTCCGCCACCGCCGTCTTGCCGCTGGGAGCCTACTGCTTCCCACCCAGCGCCCCCCCCATCGCACAGCCGCTCCCGACCATGAAGCTGCCTCGCCGCCCGGCCAGATCCTCACCGGCAAGCTCGTCGGAAGCCGGCACGCTCGTCGGACGACGGCAGGACAGCTAGCTGGTCCGTGCGCGCCGCAACTCCCTTCGCCGGCCATCTCCTTTGTCGACGCCCGCAAGCTGTTCGACAGTTTGCCAAGGTACAAAATGGACTCCGCCGACGAGTTTTTTTTCCATAATTTCCTTTGTGACTCCGACGATTCGTCCTCCGATGACGAGGAGGAGATATTGGTTGCCGTGTTGGTCCATCACCACCTCAACAGCCAACGGCCATTGTTCCGTGGTTCCATTCCGGGCCACCTTCCGGCGTTGAATCTCAACCGAGAGAGCGGACATTTTCTTCTTTGGAAGGACTACTTTGATACAACAAACCTGCTGTTCAAACATCAGAAATTACGACGCCGTTTCCGTATGAGTAGACATCTTTTCAACCGTATTAGAGAGGGGGTGGTCGGCTATGATGACTATTTCGAGTGCAAAAAAGGATGTCGTTGGCAAGATTGGTTTTTCCTCTTATCAGAAATGCACTACCGCCATCCGAATGCTTGCATACGGAGTGCCCGGTGATCTCATTGACGAGTACGTCCGTATGAGCAAGTCTACTTGCTGAGTCCCTGTATAAGTTTTGCAAGACTATTATTGTTGTGTTTGGCCCTGAGTACTTGAGAGAGCCGACTGTTGAAGATACAACCCGTTTGTTGGTGATGAATGCCAGCAGGGGCTTCGCATGGATGCTTGGTAGTATAGACTGCATGTATTGGGAGTGAAAGGACTGCCCTTCTGCTTGGCAAGGGCAGTATAAGGGCCATGTCAGGGCTTGTACTATCATACTTGAGGCCGTGTCGTCTCAAGATCTCTGGATCTGGCACTCTTTCTTTGGCATGGCCGGATCACACAATGATATCAACAAACTTCAGCACTCGCCGGTGTTTGCTAGGCTTGCCGAAGGCAACAACCCACCGGTGAACTTTACTGTCAATGGCCACACCTACGACAAATGATACTATCTGGGTGACGATATCTATTCTTAGTGGACCACTATTGTCAAGACAATACCCAACCCTGTCGGAGAGAAGAGGAAAAGATTTGCCCAAGAGCAAGAGAGTGCTAGGAAGGATGTCGAGCATGCCTTTGGTGTTTTGCAATCTCGATGGGGCATCGTTCGGTATCCTGCTAATACCTGAAGCACGCAGAAACTGTGGAAGGTGGTGACTGCTTGTGTGATCATGCATAATATGATCATAGAAGACGAGCGCCCGGAACGTCTGTATGATCAAGGGTTTTAGTTTCAGGGTGAGAATGGTGTGCCTGAGCATGGAGTAGCGGCAACATTTGAACAGTTCACCCAATTTCATTAAGACATGCGTGATTAGGAAACGCACATGCAACTGCAAAATGATTTGGTTGAATATATGTGGGCTCATGTTGGCAACCAATAGATGTATCTTCTTTTATTCATTTGCAAAACTATGTGAGACCTTTTTATTTTCATTTGGCTTGTAATAAACTACGCTATTTTATTCGGTCCAAAACGATTTTATTTTGAACTATGCAATCATGCAAAAAAAATAAGGGGGCCAGACAGGCAAGCCGGCACATATGGGACGACGCGTTGGGCGCCCTACCGACCCATATGCAAAATAGGGCGGACGCCGGACGGCCAGCCGACCCAAACGGACAAAAACAAACGAAATCGCCGTTCGTTTGGGTCGTTCCATTGGGGTCGCTCTAACTTTGGGAAATATGAGTTATGGTCCATCACACCACTCATGCAAAAAGTTTGCGAGTCTCAGAGCAAAGGTTATTGAATCCCCTAGGAGAAAAAGGGTTATTGAACCTAAAAAATTTGGGAAGTATGAAAACTTTGGTTTATTGAATCTCAAAGCAAAGGTTATTACATCACAACACTGTAATCCGCAAGTAAGCCACGTGGAATTGATCATGCATGGGTAGTTGAGTACTCGATGCATTTTAAAATACTTCGTTTTTTTACACTTTTTTCGTGAGAAAACTTGCGATGTATCCATTTTCGATCGTGGCGGTACAACAAATATCGTAAATAATAAAAATTACATCCAGATCCTTAGATCACCTATTGACGACTACAAGCACTGAAGCGAGTCGAAGGCACGCCACCGTCATCACTCCTCCCTCATCGAAATCGGGCAAACTTATTGTAGTAGATAGTTGAGAAGTCGTCGCGCTAAGGCCACATAGGACCAGCACAACAGAACAACAACCGCCGCAGATGAAGAGTAGCGTAGATTGGAAGGATCCCACCTGAAGACACACGAACGTAGATAAAACTACGACCAAATCCGAGCAAATCCACCAAAGACAAAACTGCCAGAGACGCATCTGCACAAGCCCACCGACGATGCTAGACACACCATCGAAACACGGACGAAGCGGAGAGAAGTTTATTCCATCTCAAGGAAGCCGCCGCCTAGGGCCATGCCTGGGCCATGAGGTTGGGCACAAGTGCCGACACGACATGACCCGTCTACTTTTTTTATACAGCTCAATAGGCTTAATATAGGTCCAAAATAGCCCAATAGGCTGAATGCTACATGAGCTGGCGTGTCAAAGGGGCCGTCGTGCCGGCCCATGTATCATAGGGGGCGTGTCTGGGCCAGGGAGGGCAGCATGTGTGCTGGCCCGGCACGGACAGTGTACTTGCCGTGGCGTGCCTGGCTCATATAACCGGGCCATGTCGTGTGAAGCACGGCAACTTTCGTGCTTTAGTTTATTTTTGATAAGAACTTGTTATGTGTCACTGGAATTTGTCATACTTAGAGCATCTCTAGCCGCGCATGCAACAAGCCCCCCAAGGTCTTTTTTTATCGTCGGCGCCGAAAAATTAGTCCAGTCACGCCCCCAAAAGCCCACTTTTTGCCGGTTAGGGCCGAATTCGGTGCCGGTGGACCTAGGCTGAACCCGGCGCGCTGGGGGCGCCCGGGGAAACGGTTAAAACAAGTGGGCCCGCCAAGTCAGCGACTCTGCGCCTTCGTCGTCCTCATCGCCTCGATTCCCGCGGGAATCAATGCGAAGGTTGCCGCGCCGGTTAGACTTCCATTGATGTCTCATGGGCGGCACAGTAAAGGCGTACGCGCGTCCCACCCGCTCGCGCCACGCGTACACACGGCGCCCACCCTCTCGCCGCCCACCCACGGCTATAAAAGTGTTGGAAATATGCCCTAGAGGCAATAATAAAAGTATTATTATATTTCATTGTTCATGATAATTGTCTTTTATTCATGCTATAACTGTATTATCCGGAAATCGTAATACACGTGTGAATACATAGACCTCAATATGTCCCTAGTGAGCCTCTAGTTGACTAGCTCGTTGTGATCAACAGATAGTCATGATTTCCTGGCTATGGACATTGGATGTCGTTGATAACGGGATCACATCATTAGGAGAAGGATGTGATGGACAAGACCCAATCCTAAGCATATCACAAAGGTCGTTTAGTTCGTTTGCTAGAGCTTTGCCAATGTCAAGTATCTCTTCCTTAGACCATGAGATCGTGTAACTCCCGGATACCGTAGGAGTGCCTTGGGTGTATCAAACGTCACAACGTAACTGGGTGACTATAAAGGTGCATTACAGGTATCTCCGAAAGTAGCTGTTGGGTTGACACGGATCGAGACTGGGATTTGTCACTCCGTATGACGGAGAGGTATCTCTGGGCCCACTCGGTAATGCATCATCATAATGAGCTCAAGGTGACCAAAGTGTTGGCCACGAGATCATGCATTACGATACGAGTAAAGTGACTTGCCGGTAACGAGACTGAACAAGGTATTGGGATACCGACGATCGAGTCTCGGGCAAGTAACGTACCGATTGACAAAGGGAATTGTATACAGGGTTTGATCGAATCCTCGACATCGTGGTTCATCCGATGACAACATCGAGAAGCATGTGGGGGCCAACATGGGTATCCAGATCCCGCTGTTGGTTATTGACCGGAGAACGTCTCGGTCATGTCTACATGTCTCCCGAACCCGTAGGGTCTACACACTTAAGGTTCGATGACGCTAGGGTTATAAAGGAAGTTTGTATGTGGTTACCGAATGTTGTTCGGAGTCCCGTATGAGATTCCGGACATCACGAGGAGTTCCGGAATGGTCCGGAGGTAAAGATTTATATATGGGAAGTCCTATTTTGGCCACCGGAAAATGTTCGGGATTTTTCGGTATTGTACCGGGAAGGTTCTAGAAGGTTCCGGAGTAGGGCCCACCTGCATGGGGGGACCCACATGAACGTGAGTAGTGGGGGAAAGGCCCCACACCCCTGGTCAAGGCGCACCAAGATCCCCCCTTAGAAGGAATAAGATCATATCCCGAAGGGATAAGATCAAGATCCCTAAAAAGGGGGGATAACAATCGGTGGGGAAGGAAATGATGGGATTTCTTTCCTCCCACCTTAGCCAACGCCCCAATGGACTTGGAGGGCAAGAAACCAGCCCCTCCACCCCTATATATAGTGGGGAGGCGCATGGGGGCTTAAGACAAGCCAAGGCGCAGCCCCTCCCCTCCCCAACACCTCTCCTCCTCCGTATATGCTTGGCGAAGCCCTGTCGGAGTACTGCTGCACCAACTACACCACGCCGTTGTGCTGCCGTTGGAGCAATCTTCCTCAACCTCTCCTTCCCCCTTGCTGGATCAAGAAGGAGGAGACGTCTCCCGTCCCGTACGTGTGTTGAACGCGGAGGTGCTGTCCGTTCAGCACTTGGACATCGGTGATCCGAATCACGTTCGAGTACGACTCCATCATCACCATCCCCTTGGCTAGCTTCCGCTCGTGATCTACAAGTGGTATGTAGATGCAAACTCTCTCCCTTGACTCGTTGCTTAGATGAACTCATAGATGGATCTTGGTGAAACCGTAGGAAAATTTTTAATTTTCTGCAACGTTCCCCAACAAAAAGCAGGCCCTCCCTCGCTAGTGAAGGCACACTCCCTCGCCATAGAACCCCCCATCTCGTCGGTGAATGCACACTCCCTCGTCGTCGACACCCCACTCGACCTCTCACCGCCGACGCGCGTCTCTTCTCTCTCCCCCGCCGACGACCATGGCCGAGCACTACCCAGGCGACGGTGCGGCGGCCAATGGTTTCGATCGCCGCCACCTGCACGAAGACGAGGCACGCCTCCTCTATGAGGCCGACTACCTAGCATCGCCGGGCATGCGCTCGTGGAGGCTGAGTGTCGGCGGCGTCTCAGTACCTCCGGCGCCCATCGGTGCTGATCGGCGCCCGAGATCGCACACATCCGGTCATCGTTGCCGGAGCAAGCGCGGAACCAGTCGAAGTACGCCCTCGACAGCCACATGTTGTGGATGGTGTACTTCGACCGCCGCCACAAAGACCAGCTCACCTCCAGGAACGGCATCGAGCCTCGTGGCCGCCTCAACTCTGAGGTGAAACACCAATGGTGGGGCGTCCCCGGCCGCACCCTTGAAGCCGTCCTCGAGCACATCGAGGCCGGCAACATGCCGCGGTTGGAGTACCTGACGCCCCCTCCTTCTCTCGCCGCTGCGACAGCTCCTGGACGCCGCGGTGAATGGAGACGGCGACCTCCTCATTGTCGGGCTCCCTTTCCTCCGGATCGCCGACGCTCCGCCCCGTCAAGCCGGAGCCACAAGAGACGCCGCTCGGGCACCGTCGTCATCAACGAGGGCGACCGTGGTCCCTCTTCTCCCTCTTTCCGCCTAGTCAGGCCGAAGACAAAGGTGGGGCTACTCCCCGTGAAGAAGGAGCATGAGGCCATGGCCACCGCTGACGAGACCGTCGTCAAGTGCGTGGGAGGACTACATCCGCGAGGAGATGGCGCGACAGCGCCGTGCCCTTGAGGAGATCGCCGCTCGGCGCCACAGATGCGAGGAGGGCGGCGTCGTCATCCTCGACGACATCTACGAGGAGGAGTCCGGGCCGTCCAACCCCCCATGCATCGGCGACGCTGGTCAGGAGTGCAGCAAGGCAAGCGTCGGCAGGCAGGACAACGGCGACAAGGACAGTGACGACGACGACTACACCAACATGTACAAGGAGCTCGGCATGTAGAAGGCGGGTGGCGGCAGTGGAACAGTAGTAATATATAGTTGTCGTTTTAGTTAGTTCAGTTTTCTTACAAATATTAATGAAATCGCCTAGTTTGGCCGAATTTGTGTTGTGTTCAGCCGAATTTTGGTCGAGTTTGGTTTTCAGAAAAGAAAGGCGATGGGGCGGCGGTTGCGAAAACGACCGTCCCCACGCCGATTTTTCGCCGGTGCGTCCTCAGGCGACGCTATTTGAAGCCCCTGTGGGTCGAACGAGTGGAGATGCTCTTACGTGACTAAATTGTTATGAAAAAACTTCATGGCCGGAGTGCCACGCACCTGATGAGTGACACTTATCATTTAAAAAAGATTGATAAAAGAAAAGGTCCTTTATCGCGTGAAAAAGGGGATTTACTTGAGCAGAGTCACCTGGAAAAGAAAAAAGTTAAAAATCCAGCGGGATTTGGTGGCCGTCCGATCTGCGGGCGATTGGTGCCAACCGAACACTGGCTGGGCGGCCGGCGGCGGGACTCGGAACAGAGCAGAGAGCAGCAGCAGCGTAGAAAGAAACAGGACAGGGAGAGAGGGAGATAAGCAGAGCAGAGACCGCCAAAATGGTGCGGCCGGGAAAGGCGAGCGGTTCTGCCGGAGGTGGCCGCGGGAGGCTGCCCTCCACCCCGGCGTCATCGTTCCATCTCAGGCGGAGGTCGAGTGGTGAGTGGCCTGTCTGTACTCCGTACCTTAGCTAGGGTTTCTGAATCGGGCCGGCGTGGATGGAGCGGGGTGGCAGATGTCCCCTGCTCCAAGAGAAAAATGCTGCAGCCGCCATTAACGCGAGGGGAGGAGGGTCAGGCAACGTCTCCGCCCGGCCGCCATGTGTTCTTCAGGAGCTTCAGTAGCCGAGCAGAGATGTTCGTCTCCTGATTCCTGATTCCTGAGCAGGAGCAGCAAAGCAAATACGTAGATGGGAGGAGAATGGAGGATACTTTCTTTTTCTATTATATTAGTAAGCATCCTGTAGCTTGTATCTTCATCTATAATTAAATCAATCAAACCATGCCCCATTGTCAAACAGGGGAACAAACCTCCATCCCAGAAATTCCCATGCGTACTGTAATCCCCATTTATTTGTTTTAACCAAATGAAGCATTTGGAGTAAAATGCGACGTTCATGGTAAGATTAGTGCACACAATCAGCACGCTTAATTTAGGACATACTCCCTCCGTTCCAAAATAGATGACTCAACTTTGTACTAAAGTTAGTACAAAGTTGAGTCATCTATTTCGGAACGGAGGGAGTACATCATCAAGTTATATATTTTTCTGAAAAGGGGTGATTTCTTGATCACACTCGTGGAAACCAATGGCTCGCTACACAATCAGCACAACAAAAATAAGGATGATAAGCATGTAACTTATGACAGTTTTCATGTACAATCAAACGGGACATACATGTGATCTGTGGTAGTTACTCGTTCCAAATGAACTTATCAGAAAGCCACCAAATGAACCTAGGTTCAGGTTCAGGTCCGAAATGAACTTAGGTTCAGGTTCTTTTGTTCCTTATGGGCTTTCTATTTATGCATTTGGACGAGATATATGTCCGATAACATACATGGTGGACTCTGTCACAGGACAGCAGAAATCCACCAAATAGGAATTCATGTGCATTCAGGACAAACTTATGAGAACCACTTCATCAACTTCAGGAGACGACTCCTCATATCCGTACTTGTCTGGCACACCCAGCACCTGAGAATCCACCATTAGCGCATCCGAAATTAATAACACAATGTCCAAAGGCTCAACAAGAGAGCCGAGCTGTTGGAACAACAGAAGCTACAACTAGTTAAAATGCTAACCTGATACTCAAAGCATACTCCAGCCCTGTCCTGAGCAAGATTAACCTAGTCAAGGCACCAACATCCCCTGTCGACTTCTTTGGCGAAAGACACCAATTGCCACCAGCGATGACAACCTCGTCCGCAGACGCTGTTTGTTTCGTAGGCCTTGGTTCTGAAAATCAATACAGAAGATAGCCATGTTAGAGAAGCATTGGAAGAATGTAAGACAACCAGTACAGTACAGTTGAAAAACCATACGAGACTTGTACTCCATCCGTAAAGAAATATAAGAGCGTTTAGGTTACTACTTTAGTGATCTAAACACTGTTATATTTCTTTACAGAGGGAGTATATCTCAAGAATATCACTCTCTAACTCCGGCCCAGTTCTACTAGCTACATCCCTAGGAGAAGCATTGGAAGAATGTAAGACAACTGGAATCTGTAAATTACCTTGGTGGCGTCTTCCATCTGCTGACCCTCTAAACCCGCCATTCCTTCCATCTCCTCTTTAGAACTTCCCTTGTTCATCCGATCTGTCACCTGAACGCTCAGACCATGTTTCTTAGCAAAATATTTTACATCCTTGGTGTTAGCAAAATATTTTCCTTGTTCATCATCATGTTGACCACCATCAACTTGTACTGCACAATGAAAATTGCCACATGTGTGCATGAAGAGAGAGTATATACAACTCAACACCAATATTGGATCAAAGCACTAGCAATTAAGCGACATAAGAAGATGCATATCACTGAATTACCAGACTCACCAGTAGAAATGGCATCAGTAGGTGATGGCACAGGGCTCTCAAAATTCTCCGCAGGTGCACTTTTGACATCAACCTCGTCGGCCGTCGTATCAGTAGCTATTGCTGCAGGGCTAGCTTCTGCAGCAGGCTCGCTTTTCATTAGTTCCTGATCATCAACCATCCCAGAAGTAACACCTTGTGTTGCACAAAAATAAGAACGGAATGGCACATGCATACATGAACAGAGAGTATATACAACTCAACACACCCCAAGAATTAACCGAAGTAAGCAAAACACAAGGCCATCACTTAATTACCAGTCTCTTTAGTGGTCACATTGGGCAGCGTTGTCACTGATAACGTCGTATCAGTAGCTGCTGCTGCAGGTTCCCTCTCCACATCAACCTCTTCGACTGTTGTATCAGTAGTTGTTTCTGCAGGGATAATTTCCGCAGCAGACTCACTTCCCATCGGCTTAGTCTCAACAAACAAGAGCTTGGGACGTCTGGGGTGGTTCTTTTTTGCTCCTTTCCACTCCTGTTTTGTTTCATCACTCACTGCATCAGGTAGGGCGACCTCTTTAAGACGTGGCAGGGACTGGATTGTGCGGCTAAAGCCATTTATATCCTTACATAGCAGCCGGAGGAACTCGAGGCGAGGCAGAGCTCCCTCTTGTATTTCCAGCTCGGTTGCGACTTCTGCCACGACACATAGGTGTCGCAGGCTTCTGAGTGCATGGCCTTGCCTGATGCCGAGCTTGTCCAGTTGAGTTGCAATCAGCTTCAGGTACTCCAGGCCGCGCACTCTGCTCAGGGCATCAAGAATGTTACCACTCAGCTTATGATCACCAAGGAATGACAGGCACAGCTTAGTGAGACCACCCAGCATGGTAACAAACAGAGGCAGCTGACTACATATGGTGTTCCCTTGTAGCTTGAGTGAGCTAAGGTAGTAGGAGTAATCCTTCTCCAAGGAGAAATCCAACAAGTCTGGACACCATTCATCATTGGTGTTCAGTGAGAGTGAATGAGCTTTGTTCAGATCGGTGCCGCTCTGGATGAACCCCTTGATTGACTTTGAGAGGTGTCTTGAGTTGCTGCTGTCATGTGCGGTGAACTCGCACCATATTTTCACCTTGGTCAAGTGCTTCATATGCTCCATGATCTGTGTGAATCCTTGGCTATTGTTGTCCACAACAAATCCGGCTAAAGTTTCCAATTTACTTCTCTCTGACAGCCAAGTCTGTAGCTTACTCATTCTCCGGCTTCCTACATCTTGTTGGAGCTTGAACTTTCCAAACAGATGAATTAAATATGGCAATTCCATGACTTCTATGGTCAGAATCTCTATACTGGTTCCTCTTAAATCCAGTGTTTCCAAAAGTTGAAGCTTCTTGATCTGTTTTGGAATAACTGTAACTCTAGTAGCACCTCTGAGGCTTAGGTACCTGAGCAGCGACATGTTGCTGCATATCTCCTTGAGATGCTTGTCTCCCAAGTGTTCATCGCACTCTTCTAAATCCAAAACTCTAATCAGTTTGTACTTGGAAAAGTCCAACATTGAATTGTGCGCTTCACCAAAGATTGTCAGAGAACGGACAAGACTTAGATCCTTTGGATCCATTTTGGATCTTGCATCAGTTTTATGCTGCAGAGAAATCCAACGAATTTTACTCCCAGGTGGGGGATCCTTATCATATAACAAGGTAACAAAGTTCTCGGACATGGATCTGTGCAGAATGAACTCAAGCATTATACTGTGAGGTTTGCATGTCTTCACCTCTGCACTGCCGTTGCCGCTGGCATCAATAGGCTGGATGATGCTCTTGTCGACCAGCTCATTGAAACTGGCAACAGCAACCTCAAGGGCACTGCGTTTAGGCTCTGCTGTGATGAAACCTTCGGCTGACCATCGCCTTATCAGGCTTCCTCTCCTGATTGGGCGACCACTTGGGTAAATACCAAGATAAAGCAAGCAGATCTTGATATCTTGCTTGCTTAGGTTGGTGTAGCTACGGACGAGCACACGCTTCATATTTGCTAACATATGATGTGTCTCCAGATGGCTGCCAAGGTTATTTCCCAGATCTGCCCATTGTCGCCGTCTGTGATCACCGTGCAACAACCGTGCTGTGGTAATAAGAGCAAGGGGCAGACCATCACATTTCCTTATTACTTCTGAACTTAGCTCCGTATCACGGACTGTTGGTGGATACACCAAGGAAGCTTTCTCAAAGAACAATTGTTTCGAGTGTTGCTCAGCAAGAGTTCTCATTATGTACACATGACCATCACGACAGCTGCTTTTGATTGCTATGGTCTGAGTGGCTGTTGTGACAATAACTCTACTGTTGACCCCGGGAACCACAGGGAAAGCATCTTTTATATCAACCCAAAAGTCTCTCCGCATGTCATCAATTACAATTAAAAACCTATAATAGATAAAAAGAAGTCAGAATAGAACACATTCCCTCTTCACACAAATCATGTTTCAGATAGCATGCATTCAGACAAGGAAATTGGTCGCCCAAGGGATTCTGACACTCTTCTAACAGTCTCAAATCAATAGGATCCTCGAACCGTTAGTCTCCACATGAACCTAGAGTCGGAGAAGCATTACTTTCTATTCCTTTAATGATTCTACCTTGCTTTTGATTGGATTCCTACGGTAAAACTTCTTTTTTAGTAGGGTTTCTTGTAGCACAAGGCTTGTGAGTCCCTAGTCACCGTGTTTGAAGTCCTTGATTTGCAATTGATCTGTTCAGGAATTATGTCGTGAGTTTTGTAGCCGTGCATCAAGTCGTTTTTCTACTAATCTGCTTGTTATACCACCGGCTTGTGTATTTTGTTTTCCATTATGAAGGGAATACATGTGGATGGAGGAAAATAGAAGAAGACATTGGTAACTTGGTACTCTTAACCAAGCATGTGGCTTAGTACTGTCTCATTTACATGAGCTTGTGTAATCTGAATTCTGAAGGCATGCATGCCAATATGGCCTAATTGTCTGCATGTATGCCAATGGTCGGCATAGGAATCTTTAACCATGCATATGTTTTTTAATTCAGTAACCAAAACCTTAATGGCTGGGAGAATCAAGTTGAATGTGCTAAAGTAAAAGATGCATTTTATTAGCTATGTAGTGTGGAGGCCATTAATGGGCTGTATATATGTTGTGGACTCCAAGAGAAAAATGAGTAGAAAAACCAACAGAAACGGCATAAAAAGCTAGGGTAGGAAATATATTGTATACCTCTTGGTCCCAAGGCACTCTCTTAGGCTTGCACAGAGCATGTTATTGCTGAGACGGCAGGGGTTGCCTGCACTTCCACTACTACTACTAATGGTGGAATGCATTCCAAGTTGCCAGAGTATCTCCTTGAGAACATCTCTTGAGCCTTTCTCTGCAGCACAAACCCAAGCCCGTGCTTTGTATTCGCTCTCAGTTGTGTTGTACACATGCTTGGTGAGGAGAGTCTTCCCTATGCCACCGAACCCAACAAGGGAGATCACCTTGAGCTCCATGGGTTGTTGGCCTTGCGGCGTTTCCCTTATCAGCTCCATGAGCTCGTCGTGGGGCACATCCATACCCACGGCGGCCACCGAGGTGTCCGTGTCATCAGATGGTGTCTCTGACTCCAGGGTGCTGGATCCGCCGCCATACTCACTGGTGCTGTAGCTTGTTCTCAGCTTGGATGCGTCCTCGGATTTCTTCCTGAGACGACGGATTGCTGCAGCAAACTTGTTACGGGCACTCCTCGTCTTCATCCGGTGAAATTTCTTAACGATCCATGACACATCAGGCTTGAGTGTCACGCGGTGCGTGAAGCGGTCGATGCAGTCTTCGATATCATACGCCAAGTCACGCACCATAGTGATCCAGACCTTATGCACGGGGTTGCTGCTCCACGGTGGACGATCACCATCTTGTTGAATGGCAGCAGAAATCATCAAGGACTCGCTTCTGATGTAACTGATGTCATGCTTCAGCTCTGCCCGCAGCTTGCGATTTTGTACCAAGTAATCCCAGAGCTTAGGGGCATTCCTGCTGGCCACACTGCCAGCCAGGTTGGCAGCCACGACTAATTCCGCCATCTCCACACCACCTCCTGCCTCTTGATTGATCAGACCATTACTGATACTGAATTTTGCCTTCACTGTTCTCCCTCGCCTGGATACAGAGAAAATGGGTTCAGCAACTCAACAGCAGCTATGGCCGCATAAATCCAGGACATTATCTACAATTTTATTATCAGTAATGTTAACCTGTCACGTCACGTTCTATCAGACACAGATTTTTTCAGGGAAGAAATCAGCCACATAGAATTTTCTTGGATATCACATCAGACACAGATTCTTTTTCTTAGGGAGGACATCAGCCACATAGAATTTTTTTGGGTAAGATATCAGACACACAGATTTTGTTTTTTGGGAAACAACAGCCGCACAGAATTTTCTTAGGGAAGATAATGTGCACAGAATTTTCTTAGGCAAGACATCACAGACACATAAATTAATGGAAGAAACAAGGCGCCTGGATAGCAGGTTTATCTTACTTACAATTAATTTTACATACATGAGTCAAGTCGCAACCGTGGCCATCCAAACCCTGTGGCATTAGATTGTTTATCCTCATGGCAGCTCATTTTTCTCTGCATATTTTCGACCACATATTTTGCAACAGTGTTTTTTGCCATGGTGTCCCCTCAGCATCTGTCCGTTTAGACGCTACGATCAAAGGCAGAAGCTGAGAGATGTTTGAGGGTCCCAATAGTCATCCGCTTGGTGCCATGGGATCCCAGCTTCTTTGGGAGCTCAACATGGCCTCATCTGTTGCAGGCTGCCTATAGAAGAGGGATTAAGGCCGGATGCAGGTACCCTGCTTCAAAACACT